CCCCCATCCCGCCCTGGCAGAGACACTGTGTTTGGGCGGAGAGTTTCTGTGGAGTGCAGCAAGTCCAAGCCCGCCTCCTGGGGCTGGTAACCCTGACCAGCAGTCAACTGTGCCTCATAAAGCTAAGGAATCTGAGTCCCTGAATCAAGGAAAGATGTGGAAATTAACAGCCTGGCCATCGATCCTCCCCAATTTAGATAAAGAGCTTCCCTGAAAGTTACTTTGTCAGAATTTTCTCAGTGTCATACTGTGCATAAGTATTTGATGCTTTTAAATAATTTTAATTAATATCAGAATATAAAAAAAGTTTTTGCTTAAGCTTTACAAATCCCTTAAAAACATCAAAGCTGGGCTGGAGTTGTAGCTCCTTGGCCCCACACCTGTCCAGCAAGTTGAAGGTCCTGAGTTCGATTCCTGATACAGGGGGAAAAAAACAGTAAAGCCACAAATTATGTCAGACTTGTCATTTAAACTTGTTTCAAGGAAAACATTACTGGAAACTTTTATTCCTGAAACTTGATAGCAACATAAAGTTCTCGGTAATTTAAAGAAGCCTTCTGGCTCTGAAGTCTTATAACTCCTTAGCTTTTATTCCTATTTTTTAAGCTTTGTACAGCTCAAAAGAAACCCCTCATATGTCTTACCCAACTGGCTTTTGTGACAGGATAACAGCCTTTCCGGAGAATGGTGCAGAGCTCTTCACAGTTTTACAGCTGAGACCAGTGATGACTTGTCCTTCAAGAGGGGAGACCGGATCCTTCCTTGAGCGGCTACAGTTTTACAGCTGAGACCAGTGATGACTTGTCCTTCAAGAGGGGAGACCGGATCCTGATCCTTGAGCGGCTCGACTCCGACTGGTACCGGGGCCGACTGCGTGACAAGGAGGGGACCTTCCCGGCAGTGTTTGTGCAGCCCTGCCCAGGTAGGACGGCAAGCTCCTACCCCAGGGGGAGCCTGACTCCTCTGGAGCTGGTACCTCTCTCTCCCCTCGGCCACACAGTTCGTGTATCTGCACTGGGAAAACTCACCGATGGGTGAAGTTCGGTAGACTCATACACTGCTTTGTCAGAGTTACGGGGGAAAAAAGTAAAAATGCCTGTACTAAATAATGGCTAATTTTGTCTCCTAAATGTATTTTGTATCTTATTTTCTACTAAAAAAAGTCTTTCATTATTTTGCAAGTTAAATAAGTTCAAAATTAATTTAAAATGATGTCCTAAGAATGATACAGGGTTTCTTAAAATACTTGCTCAGGGATGCAGCCTGTTTCTTTCCACATATTTGGATTTCTGGTGTCTTTACAGCTGAGGCAAAAAGTATGTCTGCTGTAGGCGCGAAGGGGAAGAAGGCCAAAGCCTTGTATGATTTCCACGGGGAGAATGAGGATGAGCTCTCCTTCAAGGTCAGAACCTGTGTCTTTCCTGCACTAAGCACTAGAGGTTTTGAAATGTCTCCATTAAAGGGTAGACTGTGTGGGTGGAATACTGATTCTTACCCTAGAATGAAGCGATCTCACCCTACTTGTAAGGCTAGGCAGTAGAAAAAGTGAATGAGGCAAATAGGACAGATAAATGACATGATCAGCCGGGCATTTAGGAATTAGAGAAATCTTGGCTTAACAGTCCCGCTGTCCTTTATAACAGCAGATCTCAGTGACACGGGCGTTTTCATTTCCCAGGAACATGGGTATTCTCACCCTAATGAAGGGTCACCCCCATGGCCCTCGCTGCTGCTGTCCTGCAGTTGAGGTTCTTGGAGAAATCACATGTTCCCTGCTACTGTTGGCCAGGGAAGCGTTGTAGACTCCTAAGGCACTATATTCTTATCCACAAAAGCCCTGACCAGCCAGGCATGATGGCGCACGCTTGTTATCCCAGACTCAGGAGGCAGAGGCAGGATGTTCACGAGTTCAAGGCCAACCTGTGCTATATAGGGAGACCTTGTCCAAAAAAAAAAAACCACTGACCAGAGGGACTATTTGGGAAATAGTCCTAAAAGGCTGAGGTACTTTGCGAAGTTTTCTTTAGCGAAGCTTAAAATACAGCCCCAGTCTTACCAAAGAAGTGCCTCTTGAAAACGTCCGTGGTTCTGTTTCCTCAGTCACGGTTGGGCCGCAGTAAGAACAGCCAGGGCAGTGCCATGAGGTGTGACACGGGGTGATGCAGCCAGGACTGCGACTGCGGCAGGGAGGGTGGGGTGGCGGTGCCGAGGTGCCGAGGTGCCCTCTCTGGTGCTCCATGGGGCCTAGAAGGGAGACTGGGCCAGAGGCAGCTTAGAGCAGTGAGCGCCAAGCAGGGCTTCCCCTTGTCCACCAGCTAGGGGAAGAAAGATGGGCACTCAGTACTTGGGGCCTGCAGGAGGCGGGAGCAGGCGAAGGTGTGCCCTGTTCTGAGGATGCTTACCTTCCTGTATTACAGTGACTTCTGTTATGAAAAACAGCAAAGGATAGATAGATACTTCTTATACCCTCACTGTGCAAAACTAAGTCAGTGACCCTATATTCCTTTCCTTAAAAAAAGTCTTGATCCTTAACATCCAAAAGTTTGAAAACTTCTGCCTTAATCCTTTTCCATCTTGAGAGTCAGTGGCTGAAAATTTATTCCTTACCTTTACCTGAAAGGTTACTGCAAGTGAAGAATCTGAATTCAAACTTTGTGGATGTTATTGTGGCCTTTCAGTTTTCTCAAGTTAAATAACAGAACTCTTAGAACCCTCCAGAGAGCTGGTTGTCTTCATTTCCCAGATGTAGGACTCTAAGGTAGTTGTGAAGGTTTTTTGTTTTTGTTTTTGTTTCTGTTTTTGCAGCACTGGGGATTGAAACCAGGGCCTTTGCTGTGCTACATCTCCAGCCCTTTTTTTTAAAATGTTTTTATTTGTGAGACAGGGTCTCACTAAGTCATTAAGCTTTCCCAGCTGGGCTCAAATTCCCAGTCCTCCTGTGCCAGCCTCTCCTAGAGTACTGGGGATGACAGTCATGCACCCCACACCCGACTTCTAAGGGTTTTTGGTAAGAGACTCTGCCCAGGTTTCAGTAGTACAGGTCATTAATATTTTATTAGCCACAGGATGTTAATAGATAGAACTTCATTTTTAAAATAATTCTCACCTCTGGAAACTGACCTGAAGGGTGGGTATGGACCAGAGCTAAGAAAACTAGTTTTGGTAATCCATTATGTTGAAATCTAGGAACATGCTTGAAACTGAAATCTTGAATAGCCAGAATTTTACAGATCTTAGGAGAGTGAATTAATGACATAATAATCAACCTGTTTCCTTTCCATTTTCCATAAAGAAAAGTCTTAATCTAACCCATTTTTCCAGAAAGCAGTTATACTAGGGCTACAGACAAAATCAAATTAATCTCATAAAGATATTTTTTCAAAGTAGCCAAGTCAGGGATTTAGCTCAGTGGTTCTGGCGCCTGCCTTGCAAGAACAAGGACCTGAGTTCGATCCCTTAAACCCTGGTATAAAGTAGCCAGGACTTGGACCATTTTGGAATCCTTTTTTTTTTTTGCTTCCACTCTCTTTTTTCTTTTGTTTTTCATTATAGGATCTTTTGTTTTGTTTTGTTTTGTTTTTTGAGACAGGGTCTCACTGTGTAGTTGAGACTGACCTGGAATTCACTGTGTAGCCCAGTCTGGCCTCAAACTCACAGCGATCCTCCTACCTCATCCTCCCGAGTGCTGGGATTACAGGTGTGCACCACCACGCCTGGCCTTCATTATAATATCTAAAACCCAGATATTATAGAAATGGTTAGAAAACCATAAAGAATAAAAAGAGTAGCTGGGTACAATGGCACATGCCTTTAACCCCAGCTACTCGAGAGGCTGAGGTTCTGAGTCAGGGTGAGCCTCTGAACATAGGAAGAAATACAAATTTGATGCTGAGAATACGGATGCTTGGAGAAATACCACTATGTGTGAGCATGGATGCGGAGTGCGGAACACTCAGCACAGAGACAAAAAGCAAGTCTCGAGGGAGCCTTCTTCAGTTCACAGGTCCGTGTAACGTGTGGCTGTGTGGCTGGGCAGGAACATAGTCCTGGGCTCACACATGGGCTGGATCCTGGTCCTGCCACTCCCTGTCCATGTAGTACTGCATGAGGTTCTGAGTCAGGGTGAGCCTCTGAACATAGGAAGAAATACAAATTTGATGCTGAGAATACAGATGCTTGGAGAAATACCATTATGTGTGAGCATGGATGCGGAGTGCAGAACACTCAGCACAGAGACAAAAAGCAAGTCTCGAGGGAGCCTTCCTCAGTTCACAGGTCCGTGTAACGTGTGGCTGTGTGGCTGGGCAGGAACATAGTCCTGGGCTCACACACGGGCTGGATCCTGGTCCTGCCACTCCCTGTCCATGTAGTACTGCGAACTTAGGAAATTAGTTTCCCTTGCTTTAAGTTCTGAACGCGTCCCTGGAATGACGGTAATAACAGCGTCCCTCCCTAGGACCGCAGAGCTGTTTGAATGAAAAGTGTAGGACGACACACGTTAAGGACGTGCCCGGCTCACTCGCATCTCTATCTCAGTTCACAGGTCCGTGTAACGTGTGGCTGTGTGGCTGGGCAGGAACATAGTCCTGGGCTCACACACGGGCTGGATCCTGGTCCTGCCACTCCCTGTCCATGTAGTACTGCGAACTTAGGAAATTAGTTTCCCTTGCTTTAAGTTCTGAACGCGTCCCTGGAATGACGGTAATAACAGCGTCCCTCCCTAGGCCCGCAGAGCTGTTTGAATGAAAAGTGTAGGACGACACACGTTAAGGACGTGCCTGGCTCACTCGCATCTCTGGGTTGCTGCCTGCATGTCGCCGCCAGTGATGCCCTTTCTGCCTGCCTGATGGGTTGTCAGCACTGTGCTCTCCGCCCTCTGCCAGCTCATCTTCTGGCTCTAGAACAAGGCTCTTCCTCGCTGTTCCCATAGTGCCCAGAATAGTGTGTGGCAGGAAATTAAAGTGCAGCAAGGCTGACGATGGCAATTACTTATTTCTTTGCTGTTACAGGGGATTGAACCCTTCACACTGAGCTACATACCCAGTCCTTGGGGGGGGGGGGTTGAATTTGGGATCCTCCTGTCTCAGCCTCCCACAGTGCTGGGACTACAATTATGCCCAGTGGGAATGAAGTTTGAGGAAAAGAAGCATATAAACAAGTGATGTCATTAGATTTTGCTTGTCTTTGTGGTGTGCAGTGGTACCTTAGTTCACAGACTTAATTCTTTTCCACAATTCTGGTCACAAAGCAATTTGGGTGAGAACTGAATCAAGTTTCCCCATAAGGTCAGCATTGAACCTATTGAATTTGATTCTGCTCTGGCCCAATTGGGTTTGTGACCAGAATCACGGAAAGAATTAAATTCATGAACCAAGGTACCACTGTACCATTTAATCCTCTCTGCAAATCAAGATAAATGAGCTCTGTAAAGAGAAGGTTATTCACGCTGTTCCGGGTGGGCTGCTCACCATGCTCATCACACCTCATAGAAACCACTGACTCCTCCCACTCCTGTCTTCCTGCAGGCGGGAGATGTCATATCAGAGCTGGAATCTGTCGATGACGACTGGATGAGTGGAGAAGTAATGGGGAAATCTGGGATATTTCCCAGAAGCTACATCCAGTTTCTACAAGTCGGCTAAAGGTGACACTCGGCTATTCCTGGGCACGAGAGCTCACTTGAACTATCAACTCTGACTATCAGATACGTTTTTGCACTATTTTTTTAAAACAAATATCTAAGGTGTACATGGTACAGGAGAATCTTCTGAAAGCAGAAAACTTGCAGATTTTGTGGTCAGCTTTCATTCACAGTAGCAGTGTGCACACAGAGAAACACATGAGCCAGGGACCCAGGCCGGGACATCTAGCGGGATTAGCAGGGCGGAGACGCGTCCCTGGGGAGGGCGTCTGGGGGCACGGCCGCGTGGGGAGGCCTCCGCGTGGAAGTCACCCTTGGACGTCTGTGTGAAGTCACCGTGCTTCTTCACTTTTCACTTCAGTTTTAAAAAGAGGACGTTTGACTTTCTACATGCTGTAACTGTCAGGACGTGGTTGGTAATCTAAATTTCATTTTTGATACTCAAATTAATTCTAACAGCTTGTGCGCATTAGCCTTAGTGCCAGGGCAAACCCGTGCTCCAGGAGGGAGAGTTGATGAAGTAGTAGGAGCATTTGTAAGCACGTGGGGAAATCCACTCTCGCTCGCCAAATGAGGATTTGAAAGGGGTCAAAATTCGACGTGTCTTACTTAGTGAAGAGAACCAAAAGCATCCCTGAAATGCCTTGCTAATACAACTAACCCTTCCACATATGTGCCGTACTTATTTCTCTCCTCAGAGTATACTTCATGTTAACAGCACATTTTCTGAATCTGCAATCATTCCTTTGACAATTACTGGTACCCAAAGGAAAATTCATTTTCTTTGCATTACCCCAGTAATATATAAAACTTGTGTCTTGTTTTAGTAGTACATTATGAATTACATATAATATCTTAGAATACAAAGCAATTGTTAAGATGAAAAACAGTTCCAAGACCCCACAGCTCCTTTCTTTGCAATATAATCGGAAAGAAAAGTAATTTAGAGGACTGAAGGCTGGTACTTTTTTCCCCCAGCTCATCTCTGCGCGATTATTAGAGTAAACAGAAAAACCACTTCCCTGTCCTCCATTGTTATGCATTCCAATCTTAAGATAAAAGTGGTTCTTCGCACGGCTGAATCAATTACAATTTATGGGCTCAAGCCAGATAGGCTGAAGACAATCTTCCAAACAGATCGATGGAGTTCAATTTCATTGGAATTGTAAAATTCTTTGCCAATAATTTCATGACTTTCTTCTGTTTTCAAGAAGAGTTTCATATGCTGGACCACTTTTTAAGCTTTCGTTGTTTCTCCCATTGTCCAAAGCACTAGACAGCCAGCGGTTCCAGCATTAGCTGAGCACCAAGGGGAGTTCTGAAAGGAAGCAATATTTACTCCATACTGGACAAAAGCTCATCTCCCAGGTGTATGGTTACATTTGATTTTAGAGTACAGCAGCTGTGTTTTCTACGTTTTGAGTAAAGAGGAGTAGAAAGAATTCTCGTCAGATTCCTCTCTGAAATAACTTCATGAGAATGGATGACTTAAAGCAGTATCCAGACTAGATGCTCATCGGCAGTAGGTTGAACATCAGCAGTGAGGGGCAAAGGTGTGGAATAGGACAGGAGCTTTATATCTTTGCCTGTGTAGCTGTAACATCTTATATTGAACATTCTGAAAACCTATCTTTCCTAGAGAAAAAAATCCCTCTTAAATGTTGACCTTCTGAAAAAAAGTGTTGACCTTTTGTAAGCAGAATAAGTGCAATAGTTGTAAATCTACTTGACACTATAATAAACTGAACCGAACTTCTCAAAGTCCCTGTCTGAAATTAGACTGAATTTTTGAGTGGCGGTGGTGTCATACTTACCTTATATCTATCTCCAGTCCTTTGCACTGTACTGGGTGGATGCCTGGGTGGGTGTGTGGATGGATGGGTGACTTTCACATTTAGCGATACTCTTAGATTATTTACTCAATATTATTGATTTGTTGACAAAAAAATCTATGTCGAAATAAAATTCATAGTTACCATGTTCTGTTTTGTTTTATCACGCTGTTTTTTGCTTGCTGTTTATTTCCCACTGAACTGGTAGAAAGCACAAATGTAGCCAGTGGGTTTTCTTAGGTAGTTTCTTAGTTGTATATTGATTAAGTTCAAGAGAAGACTCCATCATCTTTAAGGAGAAACATAATTTTTATGTCTAGCCAATCTCATACATGAGAAATAGAAACACATTCCGTTTCCTTTGAGGAATTTTGTGTGAAAATTGATGTTCATCCAAACCTCCTTAAGTCATGTCTCTGAGTCTTTTTTCTTTATTAGGTTAAAACTGGACGGCTGGGGATTAAGCTCAGTGGCCCCGTGCCTGCCTTCCAAGCTCAAGGTTCTGAGTTCGATCCCCACTAACAAAACAAAACAAAAAACTGGAAACATCATTTAATATGTTTTTGTTTATTTTGGTACTGGGGATCAACCTCAGGTCCTTGGGCTTACGAGGCAGGTGGTGGAACCACTGAGCTAAATCCCTGGCCCCCATTTAATATGTTATTAGAGCACTAAAAGTACATTTCTTTCAAAGGTGCCCTTTATGTGCTGGAGGGGCAATGCAGCATATCTGCCATGGTGCTCAGGGAAGTCACAGGTCTGGTCATCACACTGCCACATTCAGAGTGAAAGAAATCGATACATTTATCAGTTCATTAGACTAACATTTGAAAAAATACTTTCTTTAGGGTTAGAAATCGACACTCTTAACAATCATTGCTTACTTCTTACTCCATTTCTTGAGCTTAGACACAGGGTATACCTAGGGAAACTTGTGAACGGAATTTGGACTGAGGGGATCTGTTCACTTCGGTGTGGTCATCAACAGTTTGTTCTATATATATATCATATGATTTATGATTCAGTGCCATTTGAATGCCATTGAATAAATTCTTAAGCAGTGATTTTTTTTCCCCCAGAACTAATGGGAAATCATTTTGTAACCTGTGCCTTTTCCTTCTCTGTAATTAAGAGGAAAGGATCCTTCTCAGAGCAACAGCACCATCTAGGGGCGTCCCAGTGAATCGCAAGCTCTTCCCTTGCCCTGCAGAGGTGTCCTGGGGGACCAGAGCTCACCCTGCGCCTGCCACGCTTAAATGCTTTGCGGAGGGTCACACAGATACGGTCAGAGCCCAAAGTAAAGCCCAGCTCTCCCAATTCCCAGCGCAGCCCTTCACCCTTCTCTGTGCTAAAGTCATACATTTCTACTTACACTTCGGCAAGCGGAATGGATCCGTAGAAGTTGCAGCTTCTCTTACAGTTCTCACAATAAGAGTTGCGCAGAGTGAATGGAGGCCTGAACTTTTCTCTCCCTGAGAGATGTCAGCCTCTCTCGGTTCCATGTAGATGACCTACATTGGTGTTGCTTAGAAACCAGACGCTGGGGGCGTGGGATGGTAGGCAGGGGGCGTCGGATGGTAGGCAGCGTCCGCAGGGCTGTGCTGTGGGAGCAGCGCCCAGCCTGGGCTCCAGAGTTCCACACCAGCACGGCACAAAACACTACCGTGTTTTGGAGTCTGACAAATTAATCCAAGCGCTGTTAACAGATTTAGATTTCAGAGTCTGGGACACATGCTGGATGTTTTTAAAGGAATCCTAATTTGTGTGTGTGTGTGTGTGTGTGTGTGTGTGTGTGTGTGTGTGTGTATTATTTATCTTTAAATACTGGGTTTTTTTTTTAAGTACTGGGGATTGAATACAAGGCCTCCGCACTGTTATATCCCCAACCCTTGTATTTACTTTTTTTAAATTTTTGAGACAGGGTCTCACTAAATTGCCCAGGCTAGGCTTGAGCTTGTTATCTTCCTGCCTCAGCCTCCCAGAGTGCTGGGATATAGGCGTGTACCATCATGCCCAGCTTGTCTATTTACTTTTCACAAAAATGGATCAATCATCTTAATACTAAAATTGGACTCTTTATTTCTTCATTAATAAAATAAAAAATAAGCCAGGTGCATGTATTCAGTTGCAGCTACTCAGGAGGCTCAGGCAGGAAGATCGCTTGTGCCCAGAAGTTCCAGGCCAGCCTGGGCAGTATAGTGAGACCCTTCCATCTCAAAACAAACAAACTACTCCATTTGTGCTGAAGTACACTTTACTGGATAGAGTCTTAATGGAAGGACCATCAAGGCCCACCACATGATTCTCCAGCCCTCACAATGGCAACAGCTGAAGCTGTTACTTCCTTAGCTGGGCAAGACATACACCTATCATCCCACCTATTCAGGAGGCTGAGGCAGGAGGATTGCATAGCCTGCACAACATAGCAACACACACATAGCAGAAAAATTACTTCCCAAAGGCATTAAGGCATTTGGCTGGCCCTCCACCTCAGCACTTTACCTAAGTCTATCCCACGGAGACAGTGGTGTGCCCTTGTTTATATGTGTGAAACGTCAGCACCATTTAAAAATCAGCATTGACAACAGTCAACTTCATCCATATGTATAGCGCCCTCTGGAGGCAGATGAATGTGGAAGAGCAGAGAGGCCTGGTCCTTGCTGGGCTTTGTTGGGCCATGAGAAGGCCCCAGGGAGGCACCGTAGTTGGAGAACGGGGCAGTGAAGCACTTGACTGTGATGCTGCCTACCAGGGCACCACTGATTGTCCCCATGAAGGGGCCAGGGTCTGCCTGCTGGATGGGTGGTGGTCTGTCACGTTTGACTTGTTGACACAAAATGGGCGATCTTGTGACAAGAAAGCAGTGAAGAGACCACAGAAGAAGCTGAGAGGCAGACATGGCGGTACATACCTGTAATCTTCGTACTCAGGAGGCTGAGCCAGGAGTTTGCAGCTGGCCTGGACTACATAGCAAGACTGTCGGGGGACTGGGGGGCGCTGAGTACCTCCAGGATGATGAGAAGGGGGATGTCATTGGAATAGGACTGCCGAGGAGAACATCTCACACTGACTGTGCCCACAGGGCCGGCAGCCAAATGACGGGCCGGTGCCCAGCCGCAGAGAGCGAGGCTCCTTGTGAGGACCTGGCAGTGGGCATTAATTACCTCAGTGGTGAGGACACTGGAGCGCTGGGTGTCATGGCTGGATCTGACCACGTAATCCTGGACGTGATGCCCAGGCCACCGAGCTGATTCCTTGGCAGCATGGAGGTGAAGAAGCCTGCGTGCACGTCGGCTTGGATCCAGCCCTGAGTGGTGTGAAGGCATGGATGGCCGGCCCACGGTGGGGCAGACCCCAGCGGGCAGCGAGCCCCTGTCCCCACCAGCCTCACACGTAGGCAGGTGCCTTGCCACCAGGCCAGGCTGCCCCTGTGCCCACTGTTTAAAGTGAGTCACAATTCACACAGCTGCACAGATGCTAAATAATGAGTACATAGTCCTGTGAGTTCTGACAAATATATAATCGCCAATATACAGCACACTCCAGCAGGCACCCTGGGAAATCCCTTCACAGCCCATCCCAGTCATTTCCGCGTGTTACGTCTCTACCACACGCGTGCGCACGCACACACAGACACACACAGGCAGGAATAGTTCTGTTTTCTAACGCTGTAGATTCATTTTGCTTGTTGTTAAACTTCATAAAAATGGAGCCCTAGTATCTACCCTCTAGCTTTTGCTCACCATAAAAATGAACACAAAACTCAGCTGTTAATGTTGCTGGGAGTAACTTGAAGTTCATCCATGCTGAATCTATTCACTCCTCTTGCCACTATTTCATCATACCAATATTATAGTTTGTTTACCCATTCTCCTATTAGGTTTTCTTATGGACACAGCCTTCCATTCCTTTTGGATAAATCATGAGGATTGCTGTTTCTCCTAGACCTCAGCACGGTGGTGCATCCCTGTAGTTCCAGGTGCAGTGGTACCTCAGTTCACAAACTTAATTTGTTGTATGTTCTGGGAAAGATGGCTGGCCCTGTTTGTGTTTGTGTGGCAAAGATGGCCAAGGTCGTGTTTGCCACCTGACATAGAGATTACAAACAAAACTTTTTGCCACACGCTTCTGTTTGTGAACCAAACTGTTTGCAAACAGAAGCAATGATCTGAGGTCCCACTGCTTGGGTGGCTGAGGCAGAAGGATTGCATGAGCCCAGAGTTCAGGGCCACTTGAGTAACCATGATATCTCGTCTATCAAAAATAAAATAATAGGATATATACATATCAATGTCCAACAACAAATCACTCATTGATACAACTGGATATTTAGTAATATTAGAGAATTACTGAAACTTGGAGATGTGCTAATAGGGTTGTGTTGTTTACTTTCAAAGAATCAGTTCAGAGATTGCTTTAGTTTGGGTCTGAAATGTCCTCCAACTGCCCTTGTGTTACAGGCTCGGTCCCCGCCAGCCCGTGGCACTATTAGGAGGCGATGGGACCTTTAGGGAGGGAGGCCCCGTGGAAGGAAGTCAGGTCACTGGGAGTGGGGTGCCCTTGAGGGAACTGTTGGGCCCTGCCTCTTCCTACTTCCCAGGACCGGGGTTTCTCCACCACATGTCCTGCCGTGAGGCGCTGTGCCGCCACAGGCCCAAAGCTAACAGGGCCAGGTTGCCCCTGTGAAGCCACAAGCCACAGTGAGCCTGTCCTCCGTGTAAATTGATTGTCCCGGGTATTTCATCACAGTGACAGGAAGCTGGCTAACAGATGGGTGCTCAAGGGTTTTCTTCTGATAACGGTCTTGGTGCAGAATAGTTAGGGAGGAGAAAATTCTTCTATGTTTATTTATTCGTTCTGGTGAGTGAGCCCAGGGTCTTCACACTGAGCCGCATCCTCAGCCCCGCTCCCTTTGAGACATTGTCTCGCTGGTTTCCCCAGAGTGCTGGGACCACAGGCGTGCAGCAGCCTGCCCGGCAGGGCCTGATGTCTTGCCCCTTTGTAAAAACTTAGCCGGCCACAGTTTCATGGCTGCTGGGTCAGAAACAACAGACTGTTACTTACAGCAGAATTAATAGTCGAGTTTCATGTTG